AGGACTACCTATTAGTTTTTGAGTTACACAAAAAAAAACAAAAACAGTTTTGTCAAAAGTTGGTCTTGCGTAAATATTCCTATATGTCCAAAAAACTTTTGGTACTTGTTTGTTATCGCCCCGCCAGTACACCTTATAAAATTTAACGCCCCGCCACTCTTGTTTGTTATCGCCCCTCCATAAAAAAAAAAAAATATTTCAATGTATAATATTATTTTATTTTAATGTTATAATGTTATTTTGTTTTAAATATATAAATGTATAGCATAAAATGTAAATTAAAAATGTATAAAATATAAAATATGTATAAAAATGTAAAAATATATGAATATTTTAGTTATAATGGAGGCCAGAATTCAGAAATATCTTTGAGGATAGTTTCAAATGCGTCTTGTTTTCCGAGACGTGTTCTCCACATAAACTCTGCCAAATATGATTCAAGAAAATTTCTGTTAGTTCCACGACGCTTTTTATTGCCCCATTTAGCAGAACCCCACAACCTCTCAATATTTTGGGTGTGAGCCCCTGTGTCCGGATCGACAAAATTCGTAATCCTTTTTCCTTTCGGCAACTTCTTTTTTGACAACGCCATCGCGATCCCTTGATAAACATTATATGGCCATTTTCACACACTTCACTAACTTTAACTATATTATGTTGTTGTAAAAAGCTAATTCCAGTATCACTGTTTGAAACAATTGAAAGTAATTCAGTAAAATTCATTTTAACGTATAAATTAATTTTTTCGAATTTTTCTGTAGTAGGTAATAAGTAAATGAAACGGTAAACGAAAGCCAGCAACGAACTAAATATCCTATATCATAAAAATGATAAAAGTACATTTTATCATTTTCTAAAATAGATCATAAACAATTAGCAATAGCGATAAATTGTATGCGATGTACTGGAGGGGCGATAACAAACAAGAGTGGCGGGGCGATAAATTTTATAAGGTGTACTGGCGGGGCGATAACAAACAAGTACCAAACTTTTTTTTGTTCTTGATGACGCTTTTAAAAACTACTAAAATTGTACCCTAAAGTACTAACTAGATTTTATTTCCTTCCATAAAAGATACTGAAGCAGAAAATCAGAAAAGAAAAACAAACTCAAAATCAATTCATTCTTTCGCTTTCAAAAATTTAAAATTAACAGTTGCATCTAAATATTATCTTATACAGTAATTTATACACTTGCATGTTCCATAGCTGAAACATATTGAATATTTGAATAGAATGGTTCAATTTTGTAGACTTGAAAGAACCTTTTTGTGTTCAAAAATCTATTAACAAGTGCTACCGCTACCGGATGCTGAGACGCCGAGAGTCCGAGGTATGCTATATTATTATAAGTTATTATCTAAGATCGAACCCTTTAGAGTTAATAATAAACACTAAAATAATACTAAGTAAAATACCTACATTATACAGCATACCTAGATAATAGATTAGAATAATATAATGGAAATGGTTTTTCAAATAACTCCTATCATCTGTTTGAAGAAAACGACAATACAAGTTACAATCTTAGGTATATCCTTTTTACAACAGGCCATGTTATTCTTATTTAAATATTTTAACAGATAAGATGGATGTGGTGTATATAGTTATAACAGCTAACTGGGAATATTTTCTGTTGTTTTGATACACTATAGCAATGGTCGGCAACCTTTTTGATGTCAATGGCCAAAATATATATAGAAAATTGTTCAAGGGCGATGTGTGATAATTTTAATATCTATACCTTATTTTATTTTAAACAGAAATGTACCTATAATCATATAAAATTTAATTTATTTAAGTTCATAACACTTTGAGGCTTGAGCTTTACTAATTATTATTAATAAGGTACCTATATACAAACAAACAACGTTTTAATCCACATATTCCAGTCCATACTTTCTTAGTTTCTTAGTTCGTGATCTTTATTCAAATGATAAATTTTAGTCGCTGGCCACATGCAGCTTTATACCGATCACTGCTCTATAAAAACAATATGTTAATAATAAAGGTTATAATAATTAATAGGTAAATGTATCTGTGATAGGTACATCATGTTTATTTAATATTAGGATAACGCGAACGCAAATCAGTTCGTAAATGCACAGCTCCTCAGAAAACCTGAAAACCCATAAGTTTATAATAAGTCGCTTTAAAATTTAAAATTAAATACGGTGACTACCCCCTCAATAATCTAATCGGTATGTTAATATTGTGCTTAGTTATATTTAAATTTTTTTATGTGCTCTGTGCCTTGAAATACTATGAGACATTATTATTATTATTATTAATTTAATTGATATCGACCTCGATAACACAGACAGTGGCGTATATAGAAATAATTTTTGGGGTGGGCTATAACAGACAGAAACTATCAAGTGATCTATTACTTAGAGGCTACCCGTCTACTATATATTATTTAACAGTTTCTATAAATATATTCGTATTTGTTATTTTTCAACAGGCTATGAAATATTATAACTTATAATAGTACCTAATAAAATATATTGTTGTTCTATTTAAAAATACTGTAATTTCGGGGGGGGGGGCTGCAGCCCACTGTATCCACCCCCTATATACGCCACTGAACACAGATATTAATTTGTAATTAGAATATAATAGTATTGGGTAAATAAAAGTATTGGGGCACGTATTGTTCTATTCTCTACCCGAGGTGGAAGTCTGCGCCCGCTTATGATTAAATACCTTTGTTATACAAAATAATATTCAGTGATCATTTTTTAAAATAAAAAAAATGTTCAACCATAAATAATTATGTTAGATATAACTTTTATTAATTTGACAAAGAAATTTTATACTTTTGCATATTTTTTTGAGCCTATGCAGCCAGACGGGGGTTATCTTTACGAATCTTAAAATTTTTAATCGATAGCAAAAATAATTATTGCATAGGTATTTGAAAATATTTCAAGTTAAAATAATATTAGAGAATAAAAGAGAGTAAAGAGAGTAAATTATAAATAAAAGAGAGTTCAAAAAAATGTTAGACCATTTATAACTCAAGAAAGGCTGGACTGATTTCGAAATTTCTTTCATCATTAGAATGCTACCCTGAGTGTTGCATGCTTATTTAAAAAGGGGAAATTAAAACCCTGAGAGGTGCTCAAACAGAGATTTTGAGATTTACGATTGAAATTTTTGTTTATAAATGGTTGCTATGGTTGCTATTATAATAATATATATTGATTGCCCCATTGGTTGGTTAATCGTTAATTAAATTAATATTATTTTATACATAGATGAAAATGTTTTTTTTTTTATCGAAAATAGAAGCACCTTTTGTATTTAAGCTCATATCTTAAAAAGTACTCAACGGATTTTCATACGGTATTCACTTATAGATCGGCCGAGTCACAAGGAATGATTTAAAGTAAAATTTGTCTTGGAAAAGTTAGTTGGGTGGCTGAAAATAATAAAAATAATAAATTTATGTATGGTCTTTAAGCTCTTAATGGATTTCTAAACGATTGGACCGATTTTGTTGACATTTTTTGTGGGTTTTAGTGGTTCTCGGATGATTTAGTTTCACAATTGGATCCGGTTTGTCCCCAGGGAGGTGCTCAAACAGGGATTTTGATATTTACGATGGGACATTTTTGTTTATAAATGGTTGCTTTTAGTTATAAGAGAAATAAATAGTAGAAAATACTAATTAGTATTTTATTTGTATATTGGTTGGCGGTTGCTACTTGTTAATCGGGCAGATCAAGTACAAGCGTATATCAAATCTAATTTTCGCACATTGCCCACCAAGGTGGCTGAGTTGCACTTATCTACTGCAGAGAGTGTTACACCCAAAAGGCAGTTACACCCTTTATGACTAAAAAAAAATTTGAAAATTGTCAATGAATTTAAATTTCGTTTTATAACAAAAATCAAATATTTTTAATTATATACATATTATCTATATATAAATATTAATCAATCATCAATGGGTAGGTCTTTATATGTAATCATTACCTACTACCTATATCATATGGCGTATTTTATATTCTACTACCTCCGGACTTTCATGAGAAAATCCTAAATTAACCGTGCCTTGGCAAGGGAGGAACTATTATTAACTCCATCACACCTAGTATTGGTGATAAACACTAATACAGCAGCAGTGGCCCCTTCCATTAGGGGATATAATTTGTATTCTTATTTTTTTTATGTTTATCGGATAACAAAACCGCTGCTGGACAAGACCGGATAAGCATGGAGTCTATAGTGGCCCAGGCCCTAAAATATTGAAAGTCCCGGAGGGATCTTATTTCTCTAAACAAATTCATAATATTTTAAGTCAACATTTTTTTATTTTCGTATTATTATTATACGTATTATACCGTGCCCTAGCTGGTGTGCATGACTGCATTGACTCATATTTTCTTTGTCTATGACTGCAAGAGTACGGGCCGCATGCGGGCTGAACAGTAAGGTCAGAATTGGATTTGAATCGCATGCACACTCACCGCCCCGTCTAGGACAATAATGTTATCTACTTATTTCCGATAAAATTGAGTTATTGCTTATTGGTTATAAATATCCGGACCTGGTATTTTTTGGTTTAGTCCCCCTTAAAAATTCTTACTACTCCACTGTAATACAGTATACTACCTAATACGTATACTCGTTATCGGTACTTAATTACGCCTGTAGAAATATTTCTGGGGAGGGGGTGGTCAACCACAAAATATTTTATTTTTATTTTATTCTTGCCATATATGTTGTTTTTGTGATATAAATTAAATAATTGGGTGTTCGTCTAAAGTATACCAACCCCCCACCCCTTCCTCCCTGATGATATACGGGCCCAATAATTGACAACCCCTACAGCCTACAGGCACCCTCATAATATCTGAATATTATCAAATTACTTGTTTGGAAATTTGGTGTAGTTGCCTCGTTGACGGACCACGTTCAAAAACGTAAATATCAGTCAGCTGTTCAGTGTTTTGTTATTTGACATCGACCGCTGCAACCAGTGGACCGGTAACCATGGTAACAACAGTGCGCCGGGGAAACCGGTTGGCCCAGCAACTACTAACACCAGCACCACCAGCAGCAGCTGCAGCCTGCTGTTGCAGTCATCGTCGTCGGGTTAGACTCAGGAGAGCTCAACATTTCAGACCTACCCGGTCCGTCGGGTTGTCGTTGCGCAATCGCCGTAGCAGCACGCAGACCATCGGACGGCGAGAGCGGCCCGCGGCCAAACTGGTTGCGTTTTGCGAACCCATGGAAACAAAATAGGTAACCTTTAAAATTATAAACAAAACGGTTTTTTTTTTTACTATTATTATTATTTTATTATATTTTTTTGCGGCATTTCCTTTGTTCGAGTACACACACACTACACAGTACACACATAGGTATAGGTAGGTAGGTACCCGAAGCGCCAGGTGTTTTTCACGGACAACGGATATGTAACTTTAGCAGCCGCCAGCCGCCTTCCTTCGTCCTTAAACACGTATACTCACACTCACCCCTGCTGCCGTTAGCACCACTACCAATCACCGACAACCGTCAGTTTTCAGCTGCTGCTGTTGATGTTTGACGAAGCTTACAGTGTGTACCCGATCAACTGACTACAGAAAACTCGCAGCCCAGTCGTTTTACATATGCATGTGCGTGCCCAGGAATCCACCGGAAGTGCGTCTTCGTCTTCTCCTCATACGTCGTCATCGTCTTCGTCCGAGTCTTACAAGTCCGAGTCCATCCGGTTTTTCTCGTTGCCACCCTATAGCCAAGCCCTTTGCCACGGGCCTACGCTGTCCACAGGTGGTTGCGACTCGTCCATCGCGATCCGTGTCAAGGACGTTGAGTTGTGAAATCATCCTCTCGCCCCGTGTGCTTTGTATGTGAAATCCGCGCGTCATTTACTCTGTCATCTCGTCCCGGTTTTGTTGAAATCAGATACCCACAAACTGCTCACGTCCACTGTTACCACCATGGTATCGCCACTATCCCGATTGCAGTCCAAGACTTTCCCTGCTATGTCGTCAATGCTACAGGAAAAAGAAAACTATGAAGAGCTCAATCAGATAGGAAATGGTAAGGGCCACATGGACGATAAACTTTATGTAAAAATGTATTGTAAAAAATACATCTTAAAAATTTGTGTCATAGGAGCATATGGTACCGTGTACAAGGGCCGAGATCTTGTCAATAAAGGAAAATTTGTAGCAATGAAAAAGATAAAAATCCCATTGGCCCAAGATGGTGTACCCATGACTACTCTGCGTGAGATTGCTCTACTCAAGCAACTTGATCAACAACAACATCCAAATATTGTCAAGTATGTAATATTAAACAAACCCCTATGTATGTTACCGTTGTAAATATTATTGTTCTATCTAACCTAACTTAAATATTTAGACTTTTGGATGTGGTACATGGTCCGAGACTATATAACGAGAAATGTATGACACTTTATTTGGTGTTTGAACACATTGAACAAGACTTAGCCACCTACATGGCACGATGTCCAAAACCGGGAATGTCTTCCGAAATCATTAAGGTATTGTCAACGTTTATTTACATTATAATTAGTTTATTAGGTAGCTGTCTTATCTATTAAATTGTTTTCCATTTAAATTTTCAGTTGTAATCTAATATAATATGTCTATTTAACTATTGCATTTTAGTAAGTAAAAGTTTGTATTTAAATCATTTAGGTAGTGCATTCTATTTAAAAGCCAACCTAATTATATATAATTATAGAAACCTTTATTCTTCTAAAATACATTTAATTTCTTTTTCCTTAGACTTAGACCTATTACATCAAGGTTTTGTGTAAATAGTTTATTAAAACTACTAATTTGTAGTAGTTTGTAACATAATTATGCTGATGTCTGACAAGAGTATAATAGTTATTTTTTAAGTTGAATCCAAATTTATTGACCATGGAAATAAACAGCATCTAGGTACTCAATCATTTTAATTAACAATTAATCATCTTTCAAAATGCAAGGTCGCTAATCATTTTTAGCAAAGTTTTTAGCAGATTATTTCTGAGCATTTAGAAAATATATAGTTCAAATTTTACTTCCTATTAATGAATTAGTATAATATATTATTTACATATGAATTTCAATAATAAAATTATATAAATAAAAAAACCTAGACTTCTTAATTTGAATCTTTATATATCAGACAAAATTTAGAAAGTTAGTACCTAATATTTATTTGGTATACCAGTCACATAATATTATGTTTCTATTATACCTAAGTATTAACCTATAATAATAAATATATAATATCATATGTGATTTAGTTTTTTAGAAATGGTACCTATAATATTGTATTCATAACTCAATTGGTAAAATGTTTATATGCTTTGACTTTTAAATCTTATTAATATTTAACACCCACGTAAAAAAATTTTTAATGTAAATAGTGACCTAATTAAATTAATGACAATCTGTAATTAATCAATAACATACCCTCACTCCCATTAGCCAGATAATTTGGTAAAAATATTAAAACTATCAAAATGAAAGTATAAAGTTATTTATTTATTATACCACTTTAATTTTTATCTACTTTTAATATTAAATAAAATTTTCTTAAAATTGACAACCGAATAAATTAATAAATTCCACCTTTAATTTAACACATACAAGTAAGTCTATTAAAAGGTTTAAAATTATTTTAATATGTTAGAATATTTTGTATTTTTAGAGTTAGTATTATAGTTGAATAGTTATTTGATTATTTTTAGTATTTTAAGTATATTAATACATTATGTACCTAATATGATATAATATTTCACTTTTACATTGCATATTTAAGAATCTTTTAGAGACATTTTAAGTATAGGTAGTAAGTAATAACTATCAATTAGGATTTTTATTAGTATGTGTGAGCTTAATCTGTAATTGTTTTTGCTCAACTTTACCTTTAAAGGCCCTGAATTATAACGGTAGGCCCACATAATACTGCCCAGTAGGTCAGTCATCATATATATGTGCCATCAATTAACTTACGTACGCTTAGGCATTGGCAATAATATTAAATTAGATAAACTTTTTTCAATTACAAAAAAAGTGGTTTTTAGACCAAAAATCTAGACAAAACCGAATGAATTAGGATTTGACGGATTTCAAGTATTAAAACTAATTTTCATTGATTGCCAAGTTTACTAGGTTTCGTTCGAGGCAATTTTGAATATCTATATTTTCAGCTGTGATATCCATGAACAAAAATATGATATTTTTGTATGTATATTATTCATTATGACACTAACAATAATTGTAATATTAAAGTCAATCTCAGCCTCTAGTCAAACTTAGTAAACCTGTTAATCAATCATAACAAACAAAATTACTCCAGTTTTGTCTGGCTTTTTGGTCTATGTCACTTTTTTTCTCATTGACTGGAGCCCCCTTTAGAAATCAATATTTACAACTTTTTCGTGGTGTTGTATTGTGGTGAAAAGTGTTTAATAAGAGATTTAATAATTGATATCCATTTAATTATATAATTTTTTTTGTTTAACTTTTGCTACCAATAGGACATTATTTTAAACTATTTTAAGTTAACATTACTGTTCTTAGCCCAACAAGCTTAAAAATATTTACATATTCAAACTACAGATTGACTAAATCGGGACATTTAGGGCATAGGCCAAACCACCCATTATTTAATACTCTTGCAACCTACCCATGCAACCTTATAAGTATATATTAATATACTATTTATATTTACAGTACACTATTTAAAAATGATAAAATATATAATTAATCCAAAAAATAAAAATATTAGTACATGTTTTCTAAGTTATTTATATTATTTTCTAAAATATAACATTCTGAAATATGTATCCAAAATCCGTATACTTTTTTTGAATCCTGGAAAAAAAACCAAAATGATAATATAAACAGAGAATTAGTAAAATCACAGAATATAAAATACAATCTAATTGCTGTTTTATCAATATTATAAAAATTTTATAACATATTCATTTTTTTTTTTCAATTCATATAGCCTTTAATCTCTTTTCTGTTGTATAGGTAGGATAGATTTAATAATATAATGGTTATAATTATTATATATTAAGCTGGTTTCAAAAAAATATATATGATATACATATTCTATATTACACAGATAAAAAATAAATGCTATTTAGCTTTCAAAAATTTAAAATAACACTATAGTCAGACAAGTCTGACTAGTAAAGTTAATCTGGCAAGAAATTGGGGCAATATGAAGATCATATAAAAATACTTAAATACACTACTGATCATGGTGCTGACTGTAACTTTACAGTTTACTGCATTGTATTCTTGCAGTGTCTCTCGTCTTTCAAAGTTCTGAATTTAATATATTGTAAAATATGGTAATTATTAACATAACTAACATGCTAACAGAATAATATTGAGAATACTACAGCTGATATACCTATTAAACATTATATTCATATTTTTATTATTTATATTATATTTAATTTAGATTAATTTTCATTTTATATACGGAGTATTTTAATAATTTTACCAATTTAAACTTCATAACATCATAGGTTATAATATTGATAACACTGCAAATAGATAAATAGATTGTATATTAACTCTATAATTTAGGTATAAATACTAAAACTGTATTTATTTATTACTTGTATTATATTTATTGGATTTTAAGAAATCTATTATAATTTTGGTTTTTTTTCCATATACCACTTTTTTTTATGTATGCTTTTTAAAATTTTGTTTTATCCAGTTAAAAAAAAGTATTAACCACTAGGTAACTAATAATAACTTATTCATAAGGTAAAAAATTATTTGTTTCATCCATTTGATTTATTATAATTTTTAATACTCAATTAGTAATAACGTTAAAATACATTTTCAGTTTAATACAATGAATTTTTATTTATTAAGATGACACCACCACATTTGATATCTCCGTATTACAAACGAGTGACTTCAAATTTCTGTTCAGTAATTCCAATTTTATGTAATAAAATTAATTAATGGAGAGAACCTATTATCAAATTTAAAGATAAGAACATTATCTGTGCCATTTTCGTGGATTTTTACGATAGTTTAATTTTTATGCAAGTTAAGAGTATATAAATTATTAAAATTTAAAAATGCACACATAAAATCACGAATAATGTTCTTACTTTTAAAATTGATAACAAGTTAATTCTTCCCATTATTAAATGTTATTGTATAAAAATATAACTGCTAAACACAAATTTAGTATGTTGTATGTTTGTTAGATAGAGACAACACATAGGGATGTTGTGTCATCTAAAGTACAATTTAAATAAATTAAAAATTAAATAATATTATTTATTTATTTTTCTAGGGTGTTATGCGACAAATATTATCAGGAGTTGACTTTCTTCACTGTAATCGTGTTGTACATCGTGATCTCAAACCACAAAACGTTTTAGTGTCAAGTGACCTCAGAATTAAAATTGCTGATTTTGGTCTAGCCAAAATATATGATTTTGATATGAAGTTGACCTCAGTTGTAAGTAATAATTAAATTAGTAGTATAAGTTATAACTTAGAATTTTACAACTGAAAAATAAATAATATATTATGTTGTGCTTTAAATTTATTATTATTTAGGTCGTAACATTATGGTATCGAGCACCTGAAGTTTTATTAGGTTTACCTTACGCTACTGCAGTTGATGTCTGGGCTTGTGGCTGTATAATGGGAGAGATGTACAAATTATCTCCTTTATTTGATGGTGAATCTGAAGCTGAACAGTTAGATAGGATATTTAGGTAATTGATTAAAATTAGTAAAGTAAAAAATTAATAATAAGATTGCAATCGTAAATAATTCTAGGGTGATTGGTCTACCATCTGCATTAAATTGGCCAAAGAATGTTTCTCTGTTGAGGAGTTCTTTTGAGTCTTATCCACAGACTTGTTTGAAGACTGTAATCCCTGATATATGTTCTAAGGGAACAGATTTGTTAATGGTAAGATTACTTTTATTAATACTTAATGTTTTTTTCAAACTAATTTATTTAATAATAGATTGATAAAATAAGTATGACAATATTAATTTTTTGTAATATTGTATTACTGATAAAATTATATCAAGTACATTAAACATATTTAGGTATACATTCGGTTGATCTATAAGTTATAACGGTACCGATTATAACAATATATTCTATAAAATGACATTAATTTTAAGGTCCCGGCAAAATCCTTTATATTTGTTTGCACAAAATGTCTGGTCATAACGACAATATTAGCTAATATGATATTAAAATTGTCATATATATATTTTATATTTGAACATATAGAGTAATGTAAATTACAACCGTATAATTATTATTGTGTGTATTGGTCAATACTATCGTTGTTATTACCTATTACCTATTTGCTACCCTAATATAACACAACTTGCGTCTTTAAATAATATCACTATCTACAATATTCTACATTATTGAAATTGTAATATGTTTATTGTAATATGTATATATAATTACATTTTGGGTATAACGATGTTTAACAGTCCTAAGACTATATTATGTAATATATGATACCAACTAGTTTACATTTTGAAAGTAAATTTTTTTTTTTCCAGAAAATGTTGATGTTTGACAGTACTGAACGAGTGTCAGCTCGTGAGGCATTGAAACATCCATACTTTAATGAAACATAAATTTGATTTTATCTTCCTTAGAGACTATTAATGTAAGTAATAAATGTAATTAACTAAATAAAAATACTATACATTTTTGTTATAAAAATCATATAATATATGTAGATGTATAAATACTGTCAATATTTAAATATGTATGATCATCTTAATATTTTATTTCAAGTTTCTGTGTATTATTCTATTCTCATAGCAAAATCTAGAAACATCAATAACATGATGATTAATAATAATATAATTTAAAAACATTATTAGTATTGCATAAGATATAAATGGTGTTATGTATTTAAATAACACTGGCCATTTTCTAGACAAATCATAATATACTATATGATTAATAGTTAATATAATTAAAACATAATATTGTCTTCAATTTTATGATATTTGAACTACAGAATTATTATTGATTTTCATTAATGACTAAATTTTGTTTATCTATAAATTATTACGAAATGTTACATAATTTAGAATATTTTCTAAATTTCTTCAATTTTTTTATAAGCTAATGGGATCTTGGGCCAATTCTGCTTAATGTATGCAGTTTTTCATCCACGTCACTTTTCAACTTGTTATGTTGTCAGGCATAAGCTAATATGTCTATAACAACACCACACATGAAACATTGTATACAACTATACAATAATGCATCCTTGGGAATTATAGACAATTTATGACTAAAACTAAATACTTATAACAACTAAATTGCATTGTTACCTCTATTTACATTGTTCTATTTTATACGATTAAAAACAATTATTCTAATTACTAGGGTTAATTTGTTAATGATCTTAAAAACTCTAAAATATATCTTATGCATTAAACTTTCAGTAGTATTATTATTAATACATACATACAATGAACAATAAATGACCTATAATATAACAAAATATTGTTAAAAATAAAATACCAATTATACCTAAAAATACAATAAGTTAAAACATGCAATATAAATTTTAATATAACTGCTTTTACTTACCAAGCGAATTAACAATTTGGTCTATAATCCATTTAATAAATCTCATATTGTTTTTTTTTTTTCAGAAGTTTATTTTAAAGCATGCAGATACTTAGTTTGTATGAGTCTAATGCAATGTATAAGTTATTATACTTAACAGTATTGCAAGTCTCGAAGAAAATTATAATATTCCTAATTAGAAGTTACAATTTGAGTTCCAGTGTGGTTAACCATTTGCGTAGAACAGTTACCAAAATATTATAACCAGTACATATTTTTTTACCAACTAATTAATTTTAAGATCTCTCACTGTTTATATCCAACTTTGGATCTCGGAGTTTTGTAATTGACCATACATTTTGAAATTTATTTTTATTTTGCTCAATGACCATACTTTTAATCAGTAAATCAAAAGACTTGCCATTTTTTCTGTCTTTACTGACTTACTTTTCCGTGTTAACTTCCTTTTGTCTGTACTTGTATAATTTAAGGTTTTTTCTAGTATTTTTGATTTTGTGCACTGATTGGATTATAGTGCGTAAAATGCATTTTTATTTCTTTATAATATTTTGTACATATTTTATCTTGTGTATTTTGACGAATAGCATGGGTTTTGATTTTTAAAATTGGGTCTGTACCTCATTTTTTTTAATTTAAAATTTTTTTTTTATCTTCCTGCTTTTTTTTAATTTTAGTTGTTTCAGTCTTAAAATATACTTTTATGTTTAGATATGAAATAAATGGACTGTTTATTCTTAAATATATGTATTTGCATTCTTTATTAAATTTTGATTTTTATATTTATCAACATTAGGAAATGTATTTTTGCTTTAATCGTAGAATGAAATTTGAATGACCATATTGTATTCATGTACCAATATTAAAAAGTTGTTTCAAAAGTGTTATATAGTTTTAGCTATTTAAAGTGTATTTCATATTTTCATGTCTTCATATAGTTTCATCTTCAACATATTGCATATTATAATCGCTTTCTTGTTTCAGTCTATGGTAATTATTAATTAGTTCAGTGCTTGAATTGGGGGGGGGGGGGGGTGCGCAGGGAGACGGAGCTCCCCTACTATTTTTATTTCTTTTTTGCGTACCCCTACTATTTTTAGTATGGTCTGTGTTAAATAATTGCGGCATTGGAACGCAGTTTTTAAATCGTTAGATTGAGCTCCTCTACTTAATTTTTCCTAATTCGAGCACTGTTAATTACTGATTACTTTTATTGATTAATGATATTCATAAATAGTGAATATGAGTGAATTTACTCCAGCTTTACCTTATAAGCCAAAAATTCAAAAAAAATGTCCCTAAGATTAAAACTAATGTATTTTAAATGCTTAAAAATCAAATGCAAAAATTTTATATTGTGCAGTGTGACAATAACTTACCAAAACAAATATAATTCTAAACCAGATTCTGTCTGTCACATTTTCCATAAGATAACAAAATATAAGGCTCTACTTAATGCTCATAAGGTAAAATGCATAATATTAGTTACCTAATGCTTTGCATGTTGACATGTATTTACTTTTCACAGTTTCTTCATATTAGGCCCACCTCTAACACTTTTGTAGTGCCAGTATATGTTTTTAAATTCTAAATAATACTTTGATAAAATAGGCTATTGATCTTTATTTGCTGAAAATAAATGGTACTGAATTATAGTTAGGTACAAATTGGGTACCGTTATGAGAAAATTTCAGAGAAATTTACTTTTTATTTTATTTTGATTAAAAATCATTATGGCTTTGTTTGAAATTTTTATTTTATACATATTAATTATAAGTTATTACTTATTACACATTTATTCATATAATATTATTTTACTCTAGGTAGATATATTACACCAGGGGTTTAACTTATTTTAACTGTAGTAACACACATGTCTAAGTAAATATTAGTTTGAGAATATGATACTAAAAAATATTTATTTTGTACACATAATTTATTTAAAAAAATTAACATAATACACCATTAGGTAACAATATTTGTATGGTATTAATTATCTTTATGAACTTAATAACTTAAAATTATATCACAATATACATTGTTTTCTTTAATTGCATTGCAAACATAATTATTAGTTGAAATTAAAAAAAAAAAATAATAAATATTTTTACCAAAACTGAACTTTATTAATCACTAAAGTAAAAATTATCTGTTCAGAGTATAATATACCCAACTAAGTGTATACAATAGTCACCTCTTATTGGACTCAAACAGTCTGAATCTCATTTACATGTAAGTATACTTCACATAGGAAATTTTGCCTATTGGACTTACTACACTGTTTAAATGGTGTTAATGTATAGTTTTAAGGGCATATTTCCTCAACTTTTAGTCCTACATTTTTAATTTTATTCATTTTTAAAGTGTTTTCCTTATGAATGACAACATTCATTTGAAAATTTGAAATACACAATAATAAATATTTATCAGTACATGGCCAAATTAAAATTTTTCATTGCAATACGTAGATATGTATATATATACCTATTTTATATTCTTGAACTATTCACTTTATTGACTCATATGCTTTTGTCCCAAAGTGAGTCCAATAAGTGGAGACTATGGTACTGGGTTTTAACATTTTTAAGATACCTATGTCTATATAGTGAGGACAGCAAGTAAACAAAAACAATATAAATTGAAGAGTTAGAAATTTGAAAGTGATTTTTTTAAATGTTTTTGTTTTGCTATATGTGTTTATTTCTGATTGTTGCCTTGGTTTCGAAATTATACCAAAGTAAATCTGGTTATAGCTAAATTTGCCATAAGATTGCAAGTTTTCTTGATAATTGTTGATGCATAGGTACATGCTATACATTGTAATTAGGAAAAGTAATTTATTATTTGTTATTAAATAAATAATAATTTTAAATGTAAAATATATTATGTGCGTTTAGGGTATATTGGGAAGTTCTCAGATGAATAACTTATAATAATGAATTAATCATATTTGATTATAAATGACAGAATCTTTTTTATGACGTTATTTTAATTTATGAAACTTGCAGGATTAATAAAAATAACTTTGTTTCAGACAAGTTTAGCACAGGCACATTACACATCCACTTGAAGTGAATGATCTGCAACATTATTTATGTTAATTGAATTTTTTTATTAAATATCAATAATAGGTATATAGGTACTATTATATTAATATTAATTTGGTAAAATAAATGACATAAATTCATATTATATAGTACTATTTACATGGTTTGTTTTATTCTAATCATGTGGTGAACGGTTCTTGTTTGGCATCACCGATGTAGGTTTTTCGATGATGGACTTGTTTTTGGAAGGCGATGGGTTGTTGCTGTGGCTGTTGTTGATATTGTGCAGGGGTAGTCTGTCATTGATGTCCTGAAATACGAGATTGGTTATTAGAAGTTTTTGTAACCATAATACGATTTCTTATGACCAATCTGTCCTAACATGATATATTATTTAAATCATATAATACAAAAGAGTCAACATATTTTGAAACTTTCAAGTAATCAGGAGTTTCACCAAAAAAAAAAACAAAATCTTTGTAGGTAATATATATCTATCTAATTAAATTTTTTAATTAAGATATTTCCTCATTAAATGTATGGTTTATTTACCATATTTATATTGTTTTTTTTTAATATTATATTATAATAGGTACCTATTGGATGACCGGATGACCGTTATAATATGTTTTTTATCTTAATAATAGCTCAGGCCACAGGTGCTTTCTCGTAGGTAATAAAATTAAATAAAAATATAGTACATAGAAGAGTAGGTTGTCATTTTTTCCTGTATGTATGCAGCATACTGCACGCGTATCTATAGCTTTTTGGTAGGTAGCTTTAATGGTACCTACCATAGGCGCAATTTGGGGGGTGCTTGGGGGTGCTTAGCACCCCCAAAATTCATATTAGCACCCCCAAATTTTCAACAGCATCATTTAATTGTTATTGGTTATACACGTATTATGTCATAGACAACAGGATAAAATTAATTTCTAAGATTTGACTTATATAATAATAATAATAATAATAATAATAATAATAAATAATATAAAATACCGTTTTTCGGATGAAAGTTTAGTTTTAGCTAACTCATTAGACCAGTTTATGAAAATGGATTTTGAAAAAGGTCCATATTTCACCAATCATTACAAGGTTCGTAACTAGTAAATTATTTATAAACTAAATAATAATAACTCATTAATTGAATTCATAATAATTATAAATAGGTACCTAACAACCATGTATATATTATATTGTTGTGATTAATTTAATGTAGGTTAATTTTGTAAATAAAATAATCATGTGAGGATAATATAATTTCAGGATGTTGTGAATATTGATTTAACATCATTGAAAGCAGAAATGTTGCTGACAAAAAATTGTTTACAAAATTTTGATATACTTGGAAGTTGGAATAAAGAAAGTGGTGACTGAAGATGTTTTTCCAAACTTGTTTAAACTTATTCAAGTAGGATTAGCTATTCCTATAAGCTCAGCTACTTGTGAAAGGTCTTTTTCATCTATGCGCCGAATAAAGAATTGGCTTAGGACAAGCATGGAACAGTCAAAATTTACAGATTTGTCAGTTATTAATATTGAGAGAGATCTAAGCAATAAAATTTATAAAGATAAAATAATAAATAATTTTGCTATGTCTCTTTAGTATAATATTTAAATGAAAATAAAAAACGTATTTACCTGTATTATATATTTATTTTTCAAATATTAATAATTATTGATTAATCAGGTAGTATTATGAATGCATGAATGGTGTTATGAGGGGGGTGTGGGGGGCGAAGCCCCCCACGGGTTACTTTGGTCCACATAAATCTAGCACCCCCATAAATTTAGCCCAAATTGCGCCTATGGTACCTACAATTAATATTTAGTCTGCCTGTGTCATACAGTCATAGGTACCTATACGAAGATCACATTAAAACCAAAGCTTACCGTCGTTGACATGGTGAAATTACAGAGTCCTCCACCATTGTTGACGGCCATCAGCGCATTGGAAATGTTCGTTACGTCCTGGTGTAACTTTAATACTTGGTTGGTGGAGTAGGCTACCGTTCTGGTCACCTGGTCAGACTGAGTCTTGATTAGTTCTGAAAGCTCCCCGAACATTTTCTCTTCCAGACTGCTTTGGGTTTTCAAAGTTTTCGGTAATTGTTCCAAAGTCGTGCTCTCGGACTTACTCCTATAAATACAACATTTTAATTTTAAATAGTGCGATGTGTGAAGAGAAAAGTCTGTTTGAGAAAACCGTAGGAGAGGCGGAATAAAATGTTGCCTATTTATGTACTGATTGCATCTAGGAAGTTTTATTCTATAATTTTCTTTGCTTGAAATATGTGTGTTATAACTTTTAATATATAATATTATTTTAAATATAATATAAAAACAATATATTAAAAATGTAATTACCTACCTACTACCTAGTTAACAAAACAAATACCACTGTACATACTCCTAAAATACAGGAGAATATACAGTATACGAGGACTGAGTGTTAAAAATACATTCTGATTGATGATGACTTAAGAACAACATGATGAGGATGATCACACATTAAAGAAACGCAACAAAAGTAGAAGGTATTTTCAATCTATTCGCGTTTTAATCTTCGTGGTGTGCGTTTTGGTAGTGATGGTGGTATTACAAGATAAATAAGTGGATAAAATAAAATGCTTTTAATTTTGGTTAAATTTGGTGAAAACGTTTATAAATTATTTTGGTTAGTTAGTTAGGTACCTATAACTAGTTGTTTTTGTACCTACTTTTAAGCAACTGTGCAATTGTGTAAGGCAAGGTTTGATCCATACCTACCTACATATCAAGGAGCTCGTGTGGACCAATGCAATTTATTGGATCATTGACTGAATTAATCTGATATTAGAAAATAGAAGGTTGAAGATTTGACACAGGCATAGGCGTGCGCACGGGGGCAGCAGAGGCAGCATATGCTGCCCCTGGACTTTCTTTGGGGCCACCGGGGCCGGCAAATATTAAATAATGGGCCTCGGTAAAATTATATTTCCACAAAATTTTTTTTTTGTTTTGATAAACTATAGATAAATATTTTATATAGGCTTGTAGAAAAGTACACCTTTAGTGGCTTAGTACCTTACTGTACAACCTTTTATCCAAAAAAACAAATAACCAATATAATTTTAATTTTGATATTCAATAGTAAAAAAAGTAAAACTATGAGCTGGTTTTAATGGTGAATTTGAAAAATGGGCCGAATTAATCTCTTGCTGCCCCTGAAACCGGAGGCTGCGCACGCCTATGGACACAGGTATCTTATAATTGTCTTGTATATTCGAAGTTTGTTATTTAGTGATGTTTTGAAATATAGAAGTAAACGGAGGCTAAATTTGCTGTCACAAACAAAATTCTTATTTCCCTATATTTATCATCCATACTTTGGTCTCCTTTAGCTCTACGAACTCTCAAATACAATTTAAAATTTAAAAAATAAAGTATATGAAATATGTATTATTATATTTATATTTAAAAATGCTCATATTATATTATAAATTTTAAAGTTTCATAGTTTCGTTTGCATAAATGTATATAGGACTATAGGAGGGTGTAGGCGTCCTCTTTATTCTATTATTATAAATTATAATAATTATTATTGATACTTAAACATATTCGCTCTCATTATCTGAATTATACATTTTAGTCATTTTACACATATAAAAAAATGCAGTTATTAAAAAGTCCAATCCCTCTCACTTGTTATCAATACGGTCTAATATCCTTTCCAATATATCGACCATATCATTCTCGATTTGTCGTTCATTTGATTGCAACCGGTGACAATTGTCCATGAACAAGTTTTGTCCATCTACGAGTAATTGCAACTGCTCTTTGAACTTGGCTTCAAGTTCGTCTTCTGATTTTTTCTGAATCGCTGTTATCTTTTCGATAGCCGCTTCTAAGAAGCCTATAACAAATGTATACATTTAAATATATTTAAAATAAAAAAACTTTCACAATATTAATATTTGAGGGCCAATACCACATTGATTGATTGGCAGTTATGACATTATTTTCAATATTTACAATTATGAGTTATTTCATTTTAATAATATAAACAGACATGATCCTTTGAAAATATATGATCCATGTATTCGATTAATATTAATTATTGTATGTTTGTTTATTTTAAACTACAATTATCTACTGGAGACATTTTATTTTTTTTTAATTCCACCCTTTCCTCCAATGTTTCAGCTATCTGTGACAGGCTAAAGCCTAAAACCGAAAGCAAATATGAGGGACAGTTGATAATACTATTAATGCCGTTTAATACAATTTTTAGAAAAATTGAAAAATATATCAAACGGCGTGAATGAAGCACAAAACAATTTAATATCATACATAGTTTATGATAGTCATAGGTGCATAACCGAAAATTAGTAAAAGGACGTGGAAATATGTGACCATATTGCCCATCGTCCGGTATTAACAAAAATCCAAGGGATTCAATTTCATGTCACTAATGATGAGAAAATTAATTATTTTAAAAACAAACATTAAATCTAATTTAGTGAGCGAATTCCCCAACTGCCAACGATGACCAGAATTTATTATGAACGTACCAAATACTAATTGAAGTGCTTTTCCCTTTAAGTTCTTATTTTATATATAGATATTATTAAATTATTATTTTAAAGTATTCTGAGGGTTCACAGTAGGTAACTTGTACAGTTATAACTTAGAAGTATACCTAATATTAAGAGTATTTGATACCCGCATGTGTTGTCTCGGTCTTACAAGTGCGTAACATACACATTTTACGCTCAGCAGAATACCTACGTTTATCTCCGTTAGTTTAAAAATTAGAGTGAATTAACCTCTTATACAATTTAAAGGTAAGATTATTATCTAGACAATGGCATAGGCTTTTTATTATATTTTAATTTTAAAGTGAGTTATGATTATTTTAAGATGTACATAAAGTTTATAATTTTAAAATACACATAACTCGCTTTAAAATTAAAATATAATAAAAAGCTTACGTCATTGTCTACATAATAGTCTTACCTTTACATTTTTTTTTTTTATTGAGCTTAACCCGGCAACTTAGTCCATTAGCTGTTGTTTTTTTGGTTTATTTGTAGGTTGTTAGTAGGGGGAGGAACGGTTGAAAACACGTGTGGCAAGGATTCGTTGCTAAAAATCCCGGGTGGTCACCCATCCGGGAACTAGAAACTCCGGCCGTTACGTACACTCAATGTATTTTTTTTTTATTGTACGCACTGCGCCACACCAAGCCACCTTTAAATTTTTAAGAGCTCAATTCGCTCTAATTTTTAAACTAACGGAGATCAATGTTTTCTACTGAGCGTAAAAGTTGCTATGTTACGCGCTTGTAAGACGGAGACAACAAATGTCACTGTAACGTGCCCTTAATCACTTATAATAATTTTCATTCTTACTGTCCAAAAATTCGTTTATCACGCCACGTCTATCAGAGTCCAATCTCCGCCGATACTTGTCAGTATTCTCCACCAATTCCTTGAGTTCTATGCTTATGTGATCTGAACGATCTTTGAGCACATTGTACATATTATTCATCTATGAAATATCATAAATATAAAATAATAATCGTTTACAAAAACGTTGGTTATGTGATTTAGAATTTATAAATTTCTATTCTAACTAGGTAACTGATAATAAATATTCAAGACTTATATATTATGACACAGATATTTCACATGTTCATAGTATTTTTATGACTATTTATAATAGACAATAGTGTTAGGACGGTACCGTTGTGGACAGTCGGTTTGTTGTTTCCGGAATTTGACTGAAATCGCCGTCTTGATTACACGAGCAGGTACTCATTGATTTGTCTGTGATTTTGGATTGTTGAGATAAATTTGCAACAGTGTCCTGTAAAATCAAAATACCACTAAAAGCGCGATCATATAATATGACAGTAATTTTAGAATCTGAACTGAGCGATGAATGAATTGGTTTTATAATGATGTGAGTATTATTTTATTTTGTTTCATTATACTTAGGAACAGTTGAATTTTACTATAAATTTTACTAATCAATCGATTCAATCTCTCACTATGAGAGTCATATCTGGTCTCAAATTTAATATAATTGGCACCTACTTGGGGATGTTTAAAGTAAAATAAACAAGGTTTCAAAATAATCAGGAAAACCGAAAACACATTCGAAAAAATCAATTTTGTTTTTTCTTGTAAATGATTAGCTGTAGCTATGTGAAATGTTTACCAAATATTAATTGTACCTACCTAGTGACTTTTCTACACATGATATTGACGAGTTTTTATTTTTAAAACGTTTATGAAATGACAACAATGGTATTTTTAAAATTTATTATAATATTTTTAAATGCCCATTTGGTCTTTAAATCACTTGTTTCAAACGTTCAATAACTTCAATTCACATATTTTTATTTTTACTTGTAACTGTTTCCTGAAAGTAATCTGATTGGAATTGTGATTCTCAAACTCAGAACTCATGTCTTTTCGCATGGTCTGAATGTCCATGGCCATTTCTGTCTGCCTGTCTGCCACTTTTTTGATTTCTTTCTCCAGTTCTTTCTGTAACACAGTCCAAATGGACGAGACGGTTCGTTAAATAACGCATCGTTTTCGTTTCATCTTTGGCCGATTGCCTGTTAAGACTAGCTACCGACTGATTACAAACGCATGTTTCCAGCGAGTTATTTATTTCCCTTTCCTCTCGATTTTTTCAACACCACCCAATTAAAATGCCCATGTTTCATCATCTATAAATACACAGTGTGTTTTACTTCGATGCAACATATTATTATAATATCATGCAGTAATTATTTACAATGTTGTACCTACCGATCATTTTTCAGTAGCATTATTCTATCATTAGTCTATTATAATTTATGATACAATTTAAAATCAACGGTAGGTACCTAATGCCTTATTTTTTCAATATTATATTTACCTATGTTATTGGCCAACAAAGACGAAATAACGAATTGCTTAATTACTTTATCATTACCCAGTATTGATTTTTAATTCATTAAAGTATTAAATATAAATACACATAATATGGTATTCGGAAAAAAAAAAAAGGAAAAAAATACCACGGAAAAAAAAACCAATGGTGAAAAAAACCAAAAGAAAAAAGAACCAACGGAAAAAAAACCAAAGTGATAATATAATCAAAATTTTTTGAAACAAATGTTGAGTTATCTTAGTTGTAGTTCTCAGAATAGCCGGACAATTAAGTGAACTTTTTTTTGTACATCTCCATGTATAATATTGTATTCCGGCATATTTTAAAGTATACATATGATCTTTGTGACAAATCTTATCTGCACCCTTATTTGATTTAATAATTTCAATAATTTCCATATTTTACACTATTAAATCCAGAATTTAAAAAAAAAACAATTTGCAAGACAAGAACACAATAAGTAAACTGTAAAGTCACAGTCAGCACAATGATCAATAGTGTATTAGATTCTGAGTGGAACGATGAATGTATTGATTTTACAATGATGTGTGTTTATTTTTATTTTTAGATTCTGAGTGAAACGATGAATGTATTGATTTTACAATGATGTGTGTTTTTTTATTTTTTTATTTTTTTATTTTTTTATTTTTTTATTTTTTTATTTTTTATTTTTTTATTATCTGTGTACACGATAAGTAGTCGAAATAATGCTTCGATTTTCGACTTCAGTATCTTGTTCGATTGGAAAGTGAATATCGTTGGTGCATTGGGGAGGTCAAAATTTAAATTTCCCAGTAGTTTTCACACGCGCCGGGAAAAACAACATAAAAATTAAGGAAAAACGGGAATTTTTACGCAAAATTGATTTTCCAAAAAATCGATTTTGGTTATTGGTGTAACTTTAAAACAAATGAACGTATATACATGAAATTTTCACTGGTTGTTTATATTTGCATTTTCTATACACGATAACATTTTCAAAATATTTTGATTTATTTTGAACTGTTTAGGGACATTTTCATTTTTCGTTTTTTTTTAGTTTTTTTTCTAGAAATATCAATAAAATTTTATTTGTTGGTTGCGAAAGCTTGAAAATTTAATAGAAGGCTCCTAATATATTGTTTCAAAGGCAGATGAAAAATATTAAAAATCCTTAGTCACAATTTTTTTTTATAAGCATTTAAAGTTCAAAAATTGACAAAATATGGAAAAATCACGAAAATTAGCAAATTATTTTGAGTTAAGAATTCGTAAAAATTTTTCTTTTTAAATCTAAGATTTGAAAATCTAATACAAGATTACTCATAAGATTGTCTACCTTTATCAATAAAAAAATCTCTACCGGAAAGTCAAATTAAATTTTTATGAGCGTTTGAAATTCAAATTTTTACAACATTGGATATTCACTCGATTTCTCATGTGGCAATTTCCTTTTTTTGTTGTAATTAAAAAACGAATTACTGTAAATACATGAAAATTTCACTGAATGTTTATATTAGCATTTCCTATACACCATACAATTTTGAAAATATTTTGACTCTTTTTGAGCCGTTTACGGACATTTTCAGTTTTCAATTTTTTTAGTTTTTTTTTCTATAAATATCAATTAAGTTTTATCTGTTGGGCCAAAAAGTGTAAAAATTTAATACAAGGCTCCTGATATATTGTTACAATATCAGTTGAAAAATATTAAAAATACATAGGCACAATTTTTTTTTATAAGCATTTTAACATCGAATTTTGACAGAATTTTTCAAAATCTCGAAAATTATTAATCATCGTAATTAATAAATTATAAAATGTTCAGTTTTTATAGCTAAGGATTGAAAATTTAAAACAAGATTCCACGTAAGTAGTTAATTCTCTTACCGAAAAATCTAAAAAATATACAATCACAGTTTATTTTTATAGTCATTTTATGTTCAAATTTGGACGAAATTACATATTAAAAAACCTAGTTATTTTGTTGTGATTATATAATATTATTCGTGGGTACCTACTTGAAACTTCTAAAGTGTACTATTATATATATATGATAGTATCAGGGTTTGTTGTTGGTGTATAACGTGTTATAAGTACCTAATGGATATTGTGATATGATTAATTTGGAATTTATTTTAGGTCAATTTTTTTTTAATACCATAGATATGTATATAATTTGTCTTAAACCTAGACTAACATACCGTCTTCGCTCAGAATCGTTTTTCTTATACAATGATATTGTATCATTGAATTCAAATTTAAAAGCATCCATTATACAGTGACCCACTTGTAACCTACTGTACAGCAGAGCGACATCCACTTACCCACCTTTTTTTATTTTTTTTGTATCTGTGTACACGATAAGTAGTCGAAATAATGCTTCGATTTTCGACTTCAGTATCTTGTTCGATTGGAAAGTGAATATCGTTGGTGCATTGGGGAGGTCAAAATTTACAATTCCCAATACTTTTCAACAGGGGCGGACTGGCTTCTTTAGAGCGGCCCGGGAATTTTGTTTAAAGTGGCCCAAAAACTATAGTCTAACCTAATTATAACATTTACGTTTAATATACTACACATTTTTTCCATTGCATATTCAAAATATAAATAATAACATCAGATATATCATACGTTTTAGGTAATATATTTAATTTACTGGCTTAAGGAATTAATAATTTATGAAAATAATGCTTTGCTTTTTTAGGCTAAACGGTCTATAACTGTTTGGTGCTGTGTGTAATTTAAAATATTTTTTTCTGTAGCCATTAAGACAAAAGCTTCTAGATTATTCCGTGTCATGCTGTTCCTATAAACGGTTTTCACCCGAAAAGACAATTTCATTCATTTTTATAGTATAAAAAACAATTAAAAATTCAATAAATTAATTCATGTTTATTTTATTATTTAAATATGTTGTTGTTGCATACATATTAATATATTATTAATTATAATTTAGTAAAATAGTTCACGACTAACATTGTATTGCCATTTGCCGCGCAAACCAAATTTTACAAAATTGTCTGAAATAGTTTTATCTACTATATTTATCTTACCTTTTAAAAGGCGATATGGGGATCGTAAATATTCAAAAGGTACGTGCTTCTTTCCAGTAGTCAATGCAAAATATAAATTAACTATTATTAGTTATTACTTATTACAATATTACAGACGACAGACTCGTGAACGAAATACGAAAACAGTATATTATATTATTTTTAAATAATATTATATTGAATTATCGTATACAAACAAATAGTGATACAAGCCCAAATGGATTGCCGGATGCGTTATTGGCTATTATACCTATTTATATAAACTAAAATTATTTTTATAACTGTGTCTTAGAACAACAAAATATAATTTTTGGTATGATTATTATCGTATTATTTATGCTATATTTTATAGATTTTAAATACACCAAACACTGAATACTATATTATTATAATTTAAAAATCATAATAAGTTAGTTATTTGTACAATCAAACTGCCCCGCCCGAGACGGCCTATAATCTCATTATTCGACCGGCCCATCGGGAAATTTCCCGATCTCCCGATCTGCCAGTCCGCCCCTGCTTTTCAAAAGCGCCAAGAAAAACAAAAAAAAATTAAGGAAAAACGGGAATTTTACGCAAAATCGATTTTTCAGAAAATTGAATTTGGTTTTTGGTGTAACTTTAAAACAAATGACCGTAGGTACATGCAATTTTCACTGGTTGTTTATATTTGCATCTTCTATACACGATAACATTTTCAAAATATTTTGATTTATTTTGAACAGTTTAGGGACATTTTCATTTTTCGTTTTTTTTTCGTTTTTTTTCTAGAAATATCAATAAAATTTTATTTGTTGGTTGCGAAAGCTTGAAAATTTAATAGAAGGCTCCTAATATATTGTTTCAAAGGCAGATGAAAAATATTAAAAATCCTTAGTCACAATTTTTTTTTATAAGCATTTAAAGTTCAAAAATTGACAAAATATGGAAAAATCACGAAAATTAGCAAATTATTTTGAGTTAAGAATTCGTAAAAATTTTTCTTTTTAAATATCTAAGATTTGAAAATGAAACACAAGATTCCTTATAAGATTATCTACCTTTATCAATAAAAAAATCTCTACCAGACAGTCAAATTAAATTTTTATGAGCGTTTGAAATTCAAATTTTTACAACATTGGATATTCACTCGATTACTCATGTAGCGATTTCTTTATTTTGTTGCAATTCAAAAACGAACAACTGTAGATACATGAAAATTTCACTGAATGTTTAAATTAGCATTTTCTATACACCATACAATTTTGAAAATATTTTGACTCTTTTTGAGCTGTTTATGGACATTTACAGCTTTCAATTTTTTTTAGTTTTTTTTTCTTTGAATATCAATAAAGTTTTATCTGTTTGGCCAAAAAGTGTAAAAATTTAATACAAGGCTCCTGATATATTGTTACAATATCAGTTGAAAAATATTAAAAATACATAGGCACAATTTTTTTTTATAAGCATTTAAACATCGAATTTTGACAGAATTTTTCAAAATCTCGAAATTTATTAATCATCGTAATTAATAAGTTATAAAATGTTCAGTTTTTATAGCTAAGGATTGAAAATTTAAAACAAGATTCCACGTAAGTAGTTAATTATCTTACCGAAAAATCTAAAAAATATACAATCACAGTTTATTTTTATAGTCATTTTATGTTCAAATTTAGACGAAATTTCATATTAAAAAACCTAGTTATTTTGTTGTGATTATATAATATTATTCGTGGGTACGGGGTACCTACTTGAAACTTCTAAAGTGTATTATTATATATCGATGATAGTATCAGGGTTTGTTATTGATGTTGATGTATAACGTGTTATAAGTACCTAATGGATATTGTGATAATGTGATATGATTAATTTGGAATTTATTATAGGTCAATTTTTTTTTAATACCATAGGTAGATTTGTATATAATTTATCTTAAACCTAGACTGACATACCGTCTTCTCTCAGAATCGTTTTTCTTATACAATGATATTATATCATTGAATTCAAATTTAATAGCATCCATTATACAGTGACCCACTTGTAACCTACTGTACAGCAGAGCGACATCCACTTACCCACCTTTTTTTATATGATCTTCATGTTCCCCCTATTTCAAATAGAAATCTTGACAGATTGACAGATTAACTTGTCAAACTTGTCTGATTATATTGTTGAGTTATTTTGATTTTTGAAACTAATATAGTATATTATGTACAGGAAATTTCTCAAACTAAAATGTATGTAATAGCAAATTGAACTAATATTTGTATATACATAGTGATCGTAACTTATATTCTATCAATCATTTACTTATGCTCATTTGTATACATTTTTCTCAATAAAGATGTAATTATAATTAATTGTATAATATTTGAATGTATATTTAATCAACACATATTTTTTAGAATATTGATAACACAGCATATAGATTGTATATTATATTTTGTGATTATGCTTATTCTCTGATTATATTACCACTTTGGTTTTTTTCCGTTGGTTTTTTTTCTGTGGTTTTTTTTCCGGGATTCATATAATATATAACGTTTTATTATGTTTATAATATATTATAATATGCGTATATTATGTAACGAATAGGTATGTATAGTGTATAATATGAAGATTGAGAAATAAAATACTCTCCGGTTAAAGTGGACTGTATTTATTATGAGTTTTACGTATCAGTGCGTTATTCATATTGACCTGATGATTTTGCACGTTCTGTAGATTGGTCTCCATGTGTTCTAATGTTATCTCCAGTTGTTGCTGAGCCTTGTCCAGACGTCTGGTCATGTGGTTCGGACCACATTCCTCCATCACCGACTGAAAAGTCACCAAATGTTAAAATTATGAAATTACCATATTATTATAAAAATATATACCACAACACGGTGACATAGTTAATCATGGGCGGATAGGCCTACCGGGAAACCGGGCATTTCCCGGTGGGCCCCCACATCGTATTTCAGCAAGGGGGAGCCCTTTTTATGGTTAACGCAATGAGTCATTAATATTATATTAATATTATAATATTATACAATTACAATATAAATTTGAAATATTTTATTATTTTAATCTTATATCTATAAATCTATTACTATTCTGTAGTATTTTACAAGAGATTTCTTACCGCCTATCGGCCCGCAATCGCTACTTTGCCACCAACTACAACTACAACGTCGATTACCGGTTGGCGGTTGGTGTTGTTAATTGTTACAAATATTGATGTATCTAAATAAAGTTATGTTCAATAGACTATAGACATTTCAAAAATTCCCACCATCATTTTTATACGAGCTTCGAAAATACTTGAAAAACTTTCTATAAATATATCATAGGATAGTTCACCGAGCTCATGTCGAAAATAATTTCTTTTTAACACACCATTTAATTTATTTATAATTTTCAAGTATAACAATTATTTAGTTATTTGGGAAAGTAACGGTAACGCTGTTCCCACATGTTTCTGTTCAAATATTAAAATACAAATATTTTGTGATGTGGATTGTGGGTTCAATTGAGGAACTTAATACATTACATCACTTTTTACATTTTTAAGTAAGATAAATTCAGTCTGTATAGTATAAGTGTACACTGATAATGGATAGAAGTAGAGATGTTATAGAAGTGTTTCATATTGAAAATCAAGTATGGTAATTCAATTAAATTAATATACCCACAGCTAGATATCAATGGTAAAAATACATAAACTTTTATTAAAATTATACCTGTTGAAATTTATCGAACCACATTTCGTTGGATACTTCTATATGACTGAGCTTGTTGAACATCACGTCTATCCTGGAATTTATCCTTTCCGTATGTTGGTCCCGTCTTAATGTATTTGACAAATCTCTCAGTCTGAATTCGATATTGGAAATTAGAGTATAGACCTGAAACAAAGCGATTTCATTTATAGTGCGATCCTTGAGTGTTAAGATATTATATTTAAATCATGAGAAACGTAGATATAGGATATATCAGCTTCACTCTCTAGCAATTATTATCAGCCCAGAAAATTCGATAACTAAACCGTTACTGTTTATGGACGATGGATATCATTACATCAATTATATAACCGATAGGTACGCAGTTAGCAGACGGTAACAATAATCAAAGTATATTATAAACTATATAGCTTATGGTATAAAAATATTCAAAATATTATATATTAGGGGTTGTAAAAACACAGCCCACGTCTTAGACTCATGCAGCTCGCGTTTTATCGGGAGACTCAAAACATTTTTACTAACATAATCATCGGTATTGTATGAAGAGAAAATTCTCCCTAACAGAATATAACCTGACATTATTCCACGGTATTATATTGATTCACATTCTACATATTTTATTTTATTTGATATCTTATCTTATTTACGATATTGAGAACCTTTTTTTCCAGCTCTTGACTTACATATTTTTCATCATATTATTATGTGGATCGATCATGGCTGTTATCGCTGGTCACCTCTGCTATAATGCAGTAGTCAGCAAACTCACGATTATCTGTGGTCTTTGTATCTAGTATCTAAATTCTACAGTAGGTATTAAAAAAAGTGTTTATATGCCTATAATATATTCAATATTGTATGTCTGTCTGTACTTTAATACGAATTCGCTTATCCGTTGATGTGATACCGTGGATAATAGAGAGTTTACTGTAGTATTATCTATTAATATTATTATTTGCTTTAATTAAATTTAAACTTTATTCTTTAGAGTAAATGTTACTTTACTGAACAACAAAAAAATAATAATTTTTTTAAAAATTAATTCTAAGCCTTATTTAATAAAATTAAATTGTCTAAAGTTTGATCCATTTAAAATAAAATAAAAGCATGTTTAAACATCTCAGTGTCATCTTTCATGAACCTAACAAAATTGATTTTTAATAATTATTTAATTTGTTTGTTAGATTATTTAACATTTATGAATAATAAATAAATTAATAATGTTATATATAAGTTTCTTAAATTAAGTCATAAATATGTTAATTATTACTGCAAGCAAATTGATATTCGATTTAACATTTTTTTAAATAATAATATTTTATTCAACATTATTGAAACCTATCAAATCAACTGGAAATATTTAGATTGATATTTATTTAATCCGATAAAAAATATTAATATTCCACATCAATGTAATGTTCGATTATATTTTTAAACCAAAATTTTACTTTAGGATTACACATTATTATTTGATTTTAATTTATAACACATTTTGCTTACATGTATTGTACGAGATCATGTTATTTTAAATAGATACGTTTTTGTAATTTTCTTTTTTATAAGAAAAATAATATAATAATTATAGTTTTAGTATTTGTATACCTAATATGTGTTATGTGTAGAAGCTTTAGAGAGAGAATTAATATCATAAAATATGATAGGTATCATAGAAAACATTTTGAATACCTACTCATAATAATATTGAGATTAAGTCTATGTTATAGACTTAATCTCAATATATTTAAAATGTAAATAATTTATGAATTGATTATCGGATTACTGGATCTTTACATATGATTAGTTGGTTCAATGTTCTTAATTTATTCTTATACGGTAGATAATTATGAAGCTATTTTGATATACCACACTTGTCCGCGAAAACAGGGTACATTTTATATTTACATTATTAATTACCCATATTACTCAATGCCCTATACATATTTTTGAATTATGTTTGAGGGACATGGAACTAGGCTATTTTAATTTAACTAATTATAAAACTATAACTAATTTTATAATTTTATTTTGATTTGTGACTGAATCTATAATATACCTAATCTTTAATAATATCTTAGAATAACTGATCAATCAATATAGTAATAGAGGATGCCGATGACAGGGACCGTCGGAGAGTCTTAGTAGAAGCTGCGAAACTCCTTCAAGGCGTGTAAAGCAAAAAAATAAAATAACCAAGTAGGTAAAACTGTAAAAGCCATTAAATCTATATGAAACTCAGAGTCTGTAGACTTAGAATATAAAGTTAATTTGTTGATCAACAGACAGATTAGAAGATAAAAAGATACCCAAGTAAATTAATAATATTTACCTTATAATTAAAATTCATATATAATTTATAAAATGTAGTTTCCCTTTAGATTAATATGTATAATAATATTAGTTTCGATTCGGATTGTTGAACAACGTTGGCCGTAACAGACTTAAAATATCAATCGTTATAGCACCAAGTATCTGAAATCTAAATAAATCTTATTTAGTATAAATTAGTATTTATTAAGACATTTCATTGAATCAGTTGACCAATAATATTATGTCGTAGACAATAAAATCGATTTATTAGTCTTTCAACCCACAGTAATTTTTAATAGGTACACGTGTACGATACTTTTTTAATATATTCACAAGTTATCTGAAATAACATATTTTGTTTACCGACTAAGTTGTATTTAAAAGAACCAATTACTCCATAGTCCTTGATCTCTGAAATACATCATCCATGAATATAATTTGTATTAACTCATCACCGTTCACCACTTATAAGTTACTAATTTATTAATCCTGCACACGCAAGCTGTCCGTCCAGATGATCTCAGTAGTTTAAAAGGATGTCAATATATTTGGTTTTCTCTCTCAGATCCACGCGCAAGAAACCTATATTCAACGCATTCATATAAAATCTTTTTTTATGATTTTTAAGTAATTTTAAAGAAAAATCCTCTATTAAAAAATGTTTAGAGGTTACTATTTTTAAAGGTTTGACGTATTGGTTTTATTTTTATATTTTATATTTTTAGAATTATTTTCCGTATATTATTGACTTAAAAAATAAAAATATATTGAATTATAAATCGAAATGAATAAATTGTTTCCAGACAATATTCAGATCAACTAATTTGTTATCTTACCCTCAAAAATATTTTCGTATTGGGCGGTTTTACTCTTGAGTTAATGAAAGTTTTTCATTTTCACAATTATATACTTATACATCTATATTTAGGTAGATAGAATCTGATAATTAGATATTAGAAGTAGTTTCAAAAATATTATTGTATCATTAAGTTTATGTAGGCTTATGCCATGAATTACCATAATATTCATATTATATGAGAATTTGCATCTATTAACAGTCATTAGAATTACATATTTACAGTGCTCGACTTGATGAGGGGATATGCAGGGGGACGGAGTAATCCGACTAATTTTTCAGAAATTTTAGCCGGAGTTTGTCGTTTGCGCATCATGAGTACCTCAGGTAAGAAATTTGGTAGGTCGTTTACGCATCGCAAATTTTAACAATAGAAAGGTACCTATTACCTATACCTATCTACCTATTAGTGACATGACCAGATATATTGGTGAGATAATATGTATAACTGATAAGTTATACAAGTACGGAATGTTATACTAAGATGTGGAACTTTTTAAAGGAGTTGTGTGGTTCATTTAATTTGTTGTTCATGCCTAATTTAATGAGAGCCGATTTTGAAATAAGCGCCCATATTGAAATTAAGTTTGTTTTTCCAGAATGCAAAATACATTTATTTTTTTTTTTGGTAAATGTGAATATTAATTTTGTAATTTTTTTAAATATGAATTATGAATATTGACGATTATTTTTGTAAGTGTAAATAAAACCTGGTATACGTAATTTGCAATGCGCAAACGGCCTATAAAAAGGTTATTTGTAACAATAGCTAGGGAAAACAACCTATGCCTTTTTAACAATAGCGATGCGCAAACGGCCTACAAAAAAGGTCATACATAACAATAGCGATGCGCAAACATAGGTGCATACAGTCATTACCTATGTCTTTTTTTAGATTCTAAGTGAAACGATGAATGTATTGATTTTACAATGATGTGTGTTATTTTTTTTATTTTTTTTTTTTTGTGTCTCATCACCTTTTAGGACAGTAAAAATGCTTAAATTTTCTTCAACAGTATCTTTTCTGGTAGGAAAGTAAATCTAGTTGGTACTTTGGGGGGTCAAAAGTAAAAATATTCCAGTAGTTTTCAAAAACACCGTGAAAAACAAAAGAAAAATTAAGGAAAAACGGGAATTTGTACGCAAAATCTGTTTTCGATAAAATCGATTGGTTTTTGGTGCAACTCTTAAACAAATGATTTTAGGTATATGACATTTTGACTGAATGTTTATATTAGCATTTTCTATACACCATAACATTTTCCAAATATTTTGACTTTTTTTGAGCTGTTAACGGTCATTTTCAGTTTCCATTCTTTTTAGTATTCTTTCTATAAATATCAAAAAAATTTTATTTGTCGGTTAAAAAAGCTTGGAAATTTAATAGAAGGCTCCTAGTATATTGTTTCAAAGGCAGATGAAAAAAATTAAAAATCCTTAGTCACAATTTTTTTTATAAGCATTTAAAGTTCAAATATTGACAAAATATGGAAAAATCACGAAAATTAGCATATTATTTTGAGTTAAGAATTCGTAAAATTTTTTCTTTTTTAAATCTAAGATTTTAAAATGTGATACAAGGTTTCTTATTTGACAAAATGTATCAAATTTAAAATTGAATAATTATCTTGTAGTTGAAAATTTATAAAATGTTCAACTTTTATATCTAAGGATTGAAAATTTAAAACAAGATTCCACGTAAGTAGTTAATTCTGTTACCATAGAATCTAAAAAATACATAAACATAGTTTATTTTTATAGTCATTTTAAGTTCAAATTTGGGCGAAATTACATAATAAGAAACCTAGAATAACTATTTTAGTTATTTTGTTGTGATTGTATAATATTATTTGTGGGTACTTGAAACTTCTTAAGTACACTATTATATATCTATGATAGTAATATAGTATCAGGTTTTTTTGTTGATGTATAACGCGTTATAAGTACCTAATGGATATTGTGATATGATTAATTTGGAATTTATTATAGGTACCTATTATAGGTCAATTTTTTTTAATACCATAGATAAGTATATAATATGTCTTATACCTAGACTGACGAACCGTCTCCGCTCAAAATCGTTTTTCTTTTATAATGATATTATATCATTGAATTCAAATTTAATACCATCCATTATACAGTGACCCACTTGTAACCTACTGTACAGCAGAGCGACTTTTTTTAATTGATTATTTATAAATATTTTTCATATGATTTAAAAATGGTTACTAGGGGGCGCGGGGCATAGACCCGTGGTTCAATAACGTTTAACAATTGATGGGGGTTTTTTTTTTAAAAGTAAACAGTCCCCTTACTTTCATTTTGGCAAGTCGAGCACTGCATATTTACTTCCAAAACTGGCCAAACTCAATAGTCTATTTATTCTAATTGAAAATTTGTTTAATTGTTATGATTTATATCAAACGTTCTTCCTCATTAAAAATGTATTGAACCTTTACAAACGTTCACCGTGGATACGAGCCAAGTGAACTTTTTTATTTTTCATTTTTTGGCAGTTGGTTGTACTTAAATAAATTGTCATTAAACATGTAAGCTGTGAACTTATTTAAAGTGACAAAATTAACTAAAATAAAATGCTAATCTATTCATAGAATAAAACTATTTTATGATGTTAGGTTAGGTTAATAACTGTTTTAATGATTTTTAACAAAGTAATTGTGCACTGTGCATTTATTAATAAAATGATATGCTTGTTATTTGAATGTAACGTAGCTTTCTTGTTAATCTATATTTTAATGAACTAAGTACGTGTAATTTATAGTAAAATATTAATAAGAATTCATATCAAACTATTGATATAACGGGAATGAAAAACAGTTGCCAGAATCCAGAAGAGATACCCGATTGGTGGCAGTCAGAATTCACAGAAATGTCCACGTGGTGGGGGAGGCTATATTAACATAATATATAACTATGGGTTATTCATCAAAAGTAAAAAACCTACTCAGAAAACTTTAAAACTGTAATAATTGTTAAACTTTTGTTGGTTTTTTAATATTAGTTTCATTAATAATATCCTACCAAGTTATAAGTTTTTTGGTCAAAATGTCAACTGATTTTCGAAAAATTAGTTGGTAGGTATTTAAAAGAGCCGAGGCCCGAGAGGATAATAATTGATGCACATTGATAGGTGTCAGGTTGCTAACCATGTTTTGCTACGTTATTACTGTCATCTATATTATACATTTCACTTTTTCACTTTTAATTAAATTAAATTTGTTTATGATGACATTTCCCTCGGAAATTTTGATTACCAGTGGGTAATGAAACATTTAGAAGTCTCGAGTTTCGAGCTATAATATCTAAGATACTATACAATAAAATACACCATACCGAAAAACGGTAAAAGAGATTTCTAAGAATTGTCTATATAGTAAATCGAATTTTCCTCATTATAGGATCATAAACATGTATTTTGAATTGCAAGGAAATGATTCTAATAATATATTATTTACGTGTTCAATGTGTCACCAAATAAATTAATAATATTGTAACAAGTTTAACAATCGAATCGTCTTATACGAATATCCATAGGCGTAGCGTGATGAATTTGTATAGGGGGCTAGCTTATTATATAGGATGGCTATAGCTTATTATATTTCTGGTGCACTACTTATATTCTAAAAATGTAATTAAAAAAAATTACGAAATAAAATACTAAATAAAAAACAAAATACCAGGGGCGTTAAAGCCCCCTTAGATCCCCCCGTTCTACGGCTATGCGAATATCAGATAGGCTTCTGTCCTATTAGCCACCCCCTTTACTACTGACCTGATTGACCGTGAAGGAGTTTGGTGCTCCATTACCAGCTATGTCACTGTGTATGGACATGGTTATGTCAGGCGCTGCAAGTGCATCGCGAGTGGCGGTCAGCAGCACCAGCATCGCCAGCAGTGCAGCCGGTCGCAGCGATGGCATCGCGATGGAGCAGCCACCACCGCGGCCGAGGTTCGCCCGTACGTTCGCCGCCGTGATGCGCGGTGGGTGGTGGCTGCGCCGGTCTGGCTCGCGGTGTGGCCGTCGGTGGCTGCGTAGCGATCAGCGTGTTACCGTGCACGTTTTTGTCGGATGCTTTGTACAGAGGACTGTAAATCGAGAGACGAGAGACAAGAGACGAGAGACGACTAGACGAGAGACGAGACGACGGGTGACCGGTCGGTTGCGGCGTCGGCGATCTGCGTATCTCTCCCTGCCCCACCACGGTCCTACAATATATTATTATACAACACAAATATTATTATTATTGTCTTTCCGTCTCACAGTCTCTCATACTCACTCTTTCTCTTTTTCTCACTCACCGAGTCTCGTGCGTGCACGCACCCACACGCACCCACATGCACGCACGCACGAACGCACTCACGCACGCGTCAACACACGCACTGCAGTTACAAACGAGCCCCTTGTGAGCATGTGTACACCGCGCCGCCGCCGCCACCGACGCCGCATACCCCCACCGATTTCGTTAAAAACCCCTAACTAGATTCAAAATAATAATATACGTAGTAATGACCGTCGCGTCGTCATAGTCCTCGAAAAACACTGCAATAGTTGTATTTAGATAACAGATGATCGATGATGTTTTCGGGGACATATTATAAACTATAATACCTAATAGGTATAATAATATCGTGTCAAATACTGGAATCGCTGCTGCCGGTCAAAATGTCGTGTATTTTCTGTGAATAGGTTTTATAAGCCATTCGTTCACTCACTATGGGGGAGGGTGGCAAACAGTGGCCCATTTATTGGAGCGGGCGAGGGGTCAAAAGGGAAAAAGGGATCAAGTGGACAATTTTTCAGGGCGGCAATAAATATTAAATTATACCTTTTGCATTTGATACATTTTTGATAATTTATAATTATAATGCATAATATAATATATATATTGACATTTTGCTGATATAAATATCAGTATTTTTTAACAACCATCACCAGCATAGAATGGTGAGAGAATACTACAGCAATACTTCAGAAAGGATACTCGGAATCCGGATGATTTAGAAATATGCCCAATTTAGGAAGTCTGGCTACAAAGTTTGCATAATAATATTATACAAAATCGATTTAGATTTTTGGTGTGAATCGAAAACAAATGACCTTATACACATGAAATTTTCACTGGTTATATATATTAGCATTTTCTATACATGATACAATTTTCAAAAAATATTGATTTGTTTTTAACTGTTTACAGACATTTTCAGTTTCCAATTTTTTTAGTTTTTTTTCTATGAATGTCAATAAAACTTTATTTGTTGGGTAAAACCTTGAAAGTTTAATACAAGGCCCTCAATATATTGTTATGATGACAGATGAAAAATATTAAAAATCCAGTCACAGTTTTTTTTTTTAAGCATTTAAAGTTCGATTTTGACAAAAGGCGTAAAAATCATGAAAATGTGCAAATTATTTTGAGTTAGAAATTCCTAAAAATGTTTCTTTTTAAATCTAAGATTTTAAAATGTAATACAAGATTATAATGTTATCTACCTAGGTTTAAAGGTTTACCAACAAAAATAAATGTCTATAAGAAAGTCAAATTAAATTTTTATGAGCGTTCGAAGTTCACATTTTTACAATATTCGATATTCACTAGATTTCTCATGTAGTGATTTTCTTATTTTGTTATAAATTTATAATTTAAAAACGAATAGCCGTAGATAATTGAAATTTACACAATGTGTTTATTTTATCAATTCCCATACTTGATAAAATTTTCAAAATAATTTTGATTGAGCTGTTTAGAGACATATTCAATTTTCAATTTTTTTAGTTTTATTTTCTTATAATTAATATCCATAAAATGTTATTTGTTGGGTCAAAAAGCATGAAAAATTAATACAAGGTTCTTGATATTTTTTTAAAATAGGAGATGATAAATATTATAAATACAAAGGCACATTTTTTTTAATAATCATTTAAAGTTCAAATTTTTACGAAGTTTATCAAATTGAAAATAATTATTTAGTGGTTAAAAATGTATAAAATGTTCAACTTTTCAGCTAAGGATTAAAAATTTAAAATAAAGTGCCACGTATTACTTAAATGGGTTAAAAATAAATTACTTAACTCACAATAATATCATCAAATATACTTATCAGCTATTACTTAGTAATATCATAGGCTGACTGACCGTCTTTGCTCAGAATCATTTTCTTATACAATGATATTATATCATTGAATTCATATTTATATTTATATGAATTTTGTCAAATTTTGGACTTAAAATTCACTTAAAGAAATCAATTGTGTGTACCTATGTATTTAGTGTTTACGATATTCTTGAGTTGCCTACAACTTATGCGTGTAACCACTAACCATATAATATATTTTTAAGCTTTTTATCGAGAATAATTTGTTCATCGACATTTACAGAAAAAATAACTAAAACATTTTAAATGCCTATGTATAAGCAAGTAATTAGTATAAATATTTAAAACACATTATTGTAAAATGATAATTCAAGCAATAGTGGACCAAATTCAAGATCTATGATATTTTTTGAATTTTAACAAAATAGATTTTGTCGAAAACCAGTGTTGTGTAAGTCATATAATATATTATTTTTGATGGCAACATCCCTTTTTCTCAACGAATACTGCACCATATTCAATAAACCACACACCAAACGATGCGTTATTGTTTCCGCTTCTGACGTTCTTCTGACAATGAAAAAATGTTAAAATGCCCCATTTCCTTAAAAATTACGTTTAAATGAAACAAAAATTCACCATGGTAAAAATTAATGGATACACATCTAACAAAGAACAAACACATTTTTGCTAATATAACAACCGAAAATGACTACAGGATGTAGAAATTTAATCTCTTTTTCAAATGAATTTTCGGATACTCAATATTAAAACGTAATAAACAAACACCTAACGTGTTCTCTTTATGGTTTTCGGAACGTACATACAAAAAAAAATATTTTTACATACCTTACAAACATATCACTACCATTGATTATTAATACTAATATTTATAATCAATGATACTACCTACCTATGTCACGCCTCTGTGGCTCTGTCATATTGTACACAGCACGAACTACGATCTTAGTTCGTGGTACACAGTACTGCGCACGGGCCTACTAGTTATATTCACATTATAAACATTAATCTCTATTTAATAAGCTTATTAATCGCTCTGCTCAAAATTAAATGATGATTTGATTAATCGAAATAGTAATTATTATTTAATCTCAGTTCTGATTTCGCTCAAAAACAATAATGGACCTTTCGTTTATCAACCAATCTCCGACAGTTTGTACTCATGTCTAAAAATACTAAAATGTTTATTCTATCAATATTATGTTAATGAATAAATAACAATATTGTTATAATATTGTAAACTTAGCTCAAATGTAATATAAACATTATAAACACTGAAGACCATTTGGGAAGCACAACCAACGAGTCGTAAAAATTATAATAAAAAAAGCGAGTGGCTCGTCTCTAATCGTTTTATCAGATTTGATACAGAGATTGTGATGAGTGATGACAAATTGTATTTATTCAAACGTGTATTGTGTATACAATACTAATTACTAAACATCAGTATAGTACGTGTAGGCATAGACGTATAATGTCTATAGTCAATAGTTAGTATACTGTATATATAATAAAATATGATTTAAAAATGGATGTTTAGTATTTACGATAACCATATGTGACATGAAAATATCAGTTAAACCTTATTTTTTAGTCTGTGTAATATAATATTATAGTGTATATGTCCGATGTCGTTTGGTCTGTTGTATGTGTCTTGAACTTATTAAATAATATTTTCTAGAAACAGTCAGTTTAAATAGAGTTTTTAATAAATAATAATCTAAAAATTAGATTTCTTATGGCCTTGGTTAAATTAATGACGCAGTATAGTCACTAGTCAGTATATCGGGAACGAGGGATCTCAATTAGAGATCTCATGATTCCGGAATGTAATATTATTTTAACTTTTAAATTTTAATTGTAATCATGTACGTTATATCCATATTGTGTTAACAATATGTTTCCATTATAACAATCTTATAAAGTTCATTTTTTTTCTAAAACTACGAACTGCTGATGCCTATATACACAACAGTGATACTATATTATTATAGCAAACAAACTTTTCGTGTATACCTACAAACTAAAAAGTTTTATTTTCAAAGTTATTTTTTATGGATATTTGTTAACACTTAATTCGAATTTTTTCTAATGCTATTACAATATAAAGGTATTTTTAAAATTAAATTAAAATAAACTATGAATTTTATGAATATATTATAATGAAATTATAAAAGTCAACATGTTTCTGAAACTAGTTAAACATATTAAACTTTAAAAGGGTTGGTCGTAACTATATTTGAGTCCTAATATTGAGAGGACATGCTCGTATAGTGTCTCCGTCTTACAATCCTACAAAATAGCAAATTTTATGTTTAATAATCAATTACACGACTATGTTTTTTTTTTTAAATTAGAGTGAACTTACCTATTATAAAATGTAAAGGTAAGATTGTTATCTAAGTCATCTCGGAGGCTTTAAAAGTAAAATATCAATAAAAGCCTTTGATATTCTTTACATAATAATATAATATGCTCACCTTTAAATTTTAAATTCACTAATTTTAAAAATAATATAGTCGTGTAATGGATTATTAAACATACAATTTTATATTTCGTGGGATTTATAAGACGGAGACACTATACTAGTGCGTTCTCTAAATATTAGGATTTAGGACTGTTTCAGTCCAAATAGTCCAATCTACCTTTAAAAATAACAGAGTAAAATCGATGACTGTAACCGTAAATCTGTTATGTTGTACGTTTGACGAAATCAATATAATATGCGAGTGTGGCATCTTTACTTATTTATAAATCATAGCTAATGATAATATGATAGCATTTTAGATATTTTTAAGTAATTAA